GACTCCCCATGGTTCTCGTCGTCGCTTATATAGTTTCCTCCAGGTAACCCAGAAGGTTCTCAAAATCTCCAGTCCAGGTGCGAAATTTCCCGCTTGTCAGTGTCATATTTGACAGTAAATGAGGCCCAAAGGGGGCTCCCATTTACTGAAATACCATGAATTTCGATCACCCATTCCAAACGTGAGTACCCCAGGCCATTTCCGTTACAGTATTGTAACGGAGATTTCGAGAACCATCTGGGTTACCTAGGGGAAATTATATAAGCGACGACGATAACCAGACAAAAGAGATCATACAGAGTTCATACTTTGACAGATAAACATCGTGCTACGCATCGCGCTCTGCAGAGCCACAGTGTTGGAAGTTGAAGTAAAAACTGTACAAGGGTTTACCATTCTTGGCTTGCGTAAAGTTCCTGAATTACGCTGCTTTTAGTGTGCTTTTCAGCACGTTTATACAGCTGGTGCTGAAACTTTGAGCTTTTCTTTTGAATTGTGTGTTGCAGGACATGGAGGAGTCCAACGCAGTGCTCGCAGAGGAGGTGCTGAGGAGCTTTGTGGCGCTCGAGGCAAAATTGGATACAACGATGCTGGAGGTTGCATTTTGGAGAGACCGGGCGGTGAAAGCGGAAACGCTGTTAGCCGCCTAGAACTCCAAAATGCAGGAGATGGCTGCGGAGGAAAGAATGGAAGAGACCGCAGCCTCCACCACCAGTGACAGCGAAACAGTTGAGGGACCCGCTGAGGCGGCAGCTCCCTCAATTGCCGCCAAGGAGGGCAGGGGCCTGGTGACGGACTTCTCAGACGGCGAGGGCTATGAGGCTATAAGCGAGCTAGGCCTGTGTCCTCCAGCGAGGACAATTCTAAAACACAAAACTTGTCCACAGATCCGGGACAAAGGAGGGACCCTCGCAGAGGAGCCCAGACTAAGACTAGCCAGCCAGAAGACAACAGCGATAAGAAAAAGCAGGCCACCCCTGCCGCCCAGCAGCAAAGTGAACGGAGGTCAAAGGTGCCTCCAATTGTCCTTCGCGAGAAGGACTAATATGATGAGATCACGCGTCGACTGATGGCGAAAAAATTAAACTATGGATGTGGAGTGACCACCAAGGAGGGAGTTAGAACTCACCCTCCAACTGCCGAAGACTACAGGCAGATGATTATGTGACGTGATCTTTAACGCAGACATAGCCATTTAAGGCTTTGTGTCTTTGCTGGTAGCCTGCAAGAACCTTGGTGGGTTTGGGGTGTGGGTTTTCGTGGTTGCGGGACTGAGAGCGAACGAAGAAAGAAAAAAGCAGGGGTACGGAGCGAGAAAAGTAGTGGTTTGTGGCGGTTGGCCTAGAGAGTTAAATTTGGAAGAGTTTGAGAGTTTAGGTACTTTCCAGGAGGTT